CTGCTTCAGATTACTGCTTCAGATTACTGGTTCAATTACTGCTTCAGATTACTGCTTCAGATTACTGGTTCAATTACTGCTTCAGATTACTGCTTCAGATTACTGCTTCAGATTACTGGTTCAGATTACTGGTTCAATTACTGGTTCAGATTACTGGTTCAGATTACTGGTTCAGATTACTGCTTCAGATTACTGGTTCAGATTACTGGTTCAATTACTGCTTCAGATTACTGCTTCAGATTACTGCTTCAATCAATCAATCAATTTTTATTTAGACAGGTAAATCCCATTGAGCCTCGAGGACTCATTTACAAGAGAGACCTGGTTTCAACAAAGAAAGATGACAACAATGGACAACAGCAACAACAATAAACAGTTATAAAAAGTCATAATACAGTTTTTTTTTTACAAATAGGATGGCTAAAAGGAAAAAGTAACAAAAAAACAGCTAGATTCTAAGGCGAATGTAGAAAACTAAAAACAGGAACATGTCAGCATTGGTCCCTGCCAGGAGTCCAACAGATTCTTAAAGACACTTAGAGAGGTCAAAGGTCGAGTGCTTCAAATCTTTTTGTAAGATATTCCAGGAAACAGGAGCGGAGTAGGAGAAGGCCCTTTTTTTTACTGCTTCAATTACTGGTTCAACTACTGGTTCAGATTACTGGTTCAATTACTGCTTCAGATTACTGCTTCGATTACTGGTTCAGATTACTGCTTCAATTACTGCTTCAGATTACTGCTTCTGATTACTGCTTCAATTACTGCTTCAATTACTGCTTCAGATTACTGGTTCACTTCCTGTCAGGGTGGATTTACAACAAAACACGTCATTAGAAAACAGTCGTGGTTTTCAAATGTTGTCTGTGCAACACGTGGCCGCACGACTCGCTGATCACAAACAGAATCCAGTGAGACCAGTGAGACCAGTGGCCATCGGCATCAGAAGCATTTGTAATGGTGGGGACACAATGGTGGGGCGTCTGGGGTCCTCCCCCAGAATATTTTCAATAAAATAAATGTCATTTCCTGCATGGTGGTGTATTTTAACGGTTGTTAAACATCTAGTTTACCTACATTTGTAAAATATAATAACTATTTTAGAGAGCTCAGCACACTTTCTCACACCCGGCAACACGTTGGACATTTCTCTCTCACAAACACCTGTAAACAGCTGTAAGCATCTGTAAACAGCTGTAAACAGCTGTAAGCACCTTTAAACAGCTGTTAACATCTGTAAATAGCTGTAAACACCTGTAAGCACCTGTAAACACATGTAAACACCTGTAAACACCTGTAAACACATGTTAACATCTTCATGCTGCTCCACAATCCAGGGAGATGGATCTAACAAGGTTAAGAGCATTACAAATCAAAATTATTATTATTATTATTATAACTCAGGTCCTCCTGTTGAGCGCGCACATTAAGTGTTGGCAGTAACTCGGTTACTCAAACTGAAGCTCAATGTGCATGAAATGACTGAGTGTTAGCCATTTTTGTGTTTGCTAAGGCTGATAAGCTGTGGTGGTCATTTTGAAATAGATTATCTCTAAAATGTTACCACATTATTCAGCCTTTTGCAGCAGATGGTAATGGACACTTTCCAAAGTGGCCACAACCCAACTGGTTGTAAAAAAAGTCTTAAATCAAAACCTCTGTCTTTGACCAGACTGAGGTTTTAGTTCTTCCTGTGGACCCACCACCTGCAGGAAGGGCCAAAAAAGTCGGGTGCATGATGCTATGGGCAGTGGCCGAAGGCAGTAGCCGAAGATAGGGACCTTGGTGCTCTGACCCTGGCTTACCAAAGTTGGCTCTTGGGACATAGAATGTAACCTCTCTGGCAGGGAAGGAGCCTGAGCTTGTGCACGAGGTTGAGAGGTATCGACTAGATATAGTTGGGCTCACCTTGACATACAGCATGGGCTCTGGAACTGATCTTGAGAGGGGCTGAACCTTATTCCACTCTGGAGTTGCCCATGGTGAGAGGCGTCGGGCTGGTGTGGGTCTACTTGTAGCCCCCCCGACTTGGTGCCTGTGGGTTGGAGTTTTCCCCGGTAGATGGGAGGGTGGCTTCCCTTTGCCTTCGGGTGGGGGGGGACAGGCTCTGACTGTTGTTTGTGCCTATGCGCCGAACTGCAGTTCAGAGTATCCGGCCTCCTTGGAGTCCTTGGCAGGGGTGCTGAAAGGTGCGCCAGCTGGGGACTCCTTTAATGCCCAGGTGGGTAACAACAGTGTGACCTGGTTGGGCGTGATTGGGAGGAACGGCCTCTCTGATCTGAACCCGAGCGGTGTTCTGTTGTTGGACTTCTGTGCTAGAAATAGTTTGTCTATCACAAACACCATGTTTGAACATCAGGGTGTCCATAAGTGCATTTGGCACCAGGATGCCCTAGGTTGTAGATCGATGATTGACTTCATAGTCGTGTCATCTGATTTGCGGCCATTTGTTTTGGAAACTCGGGTGAAGAGAGGAGCTGAGCCATCAGCTGATCACCACCTGGTAGTGAGTTGGATCAGATGGCAGGGGAAGATGCCTGACAGACCCGGTAGACCCAAACGTGTAGTGAGGGTTTGCTGGGAACGCCTGGCAGAAGAACCAGTCAGAGAAATCCAACATTTTTCAGTCAGGTCATCTGGACAGTTTCTTTTTTTTTTGTGCTGAAACGTTTCACCTTCGATCCGGAAGGCTTCATCAGTCAAGGAAACACACAAGAAAACTGATTCTTCCCCCAACAGCTTACTCCAAAGTGGAACAAACCAGTTCTGCTTGTGATAAGATGGTCTCTTTGGTATACCCCCTCCTCCATTGCCGGCCCTCTTCCTTGTTGACAGTCTTGTCAAACTGGTTGAAAACAACAAAGTCCATGCTCAATAATCCAGGTATACCTGGATTACCTTGTATTTATACCTGGACTTTGTTTTTTTTCAACCAGTTTGACAAGACTGTCAACAAGGAAGAGGGCCGGCAATGGAGGAGGGGGTATACCAAAGAGACCATCTTATCACAAGCAGAACTGGTTTGTTCCACTTTGGAGTAAGCTGTTAGAGGAAGAATCAGTTTTGTTGTGCGTCTCCTTGACTGATGAAGCCTTCCGGATCGAAGGCGAAACATTTCAGCACAAAAAAAAAAAGAAACTGTCCAGATGAGCTGACTGAAAAATGTTGGATTGTATACCTGGATTATTGAGCATGGACTTTGTTGCCATCAGAGAAATTTTCAACTCACACCTCCGGGAGAGCTTTAACCGCATCCCAGCTGAGGTGGGGGACATTGAGTCCGAGTGGGCCATGTTCCACGCCTCGCTTGTTGATGTAGCTGCCTTGAGCTGTGGTCGCAAGGTTGTCAGTGCTTCTCGTGGTGGTCATCCACGAACTCGGTGGTGGACACCCCAGGGTAGGAACATAGACCGACCAGTAAACGGAGAGCTTTGTCTTACAGCTCAGCTCTCTCTTCACCACAACGGACCGGTACAGAGTCCACAATGCTGCAGATGCTGCACCAATCCATCTGTCAATCTCGCGTTCCATTCTTCCCTCACTCGTGAACAAAATCCCGAGATACTTGAACTCCTCCACTTGAGGCAGAACCTCACCCTCGACCTGAAGAGAGCAATCCACCCTTTTCCGGTTGAGGACCATGTCCTCAGATTTGGAGGTACTGATTCTCATCCCAGCCACTTCACACTCAGCTGTGAAGCGCTCCCGTGAGAGCTGAACATCACGGCACGATGACACCAACAGGACTTCATTATCTGCAAAGAACAGAGATGGAATCTTGAGGCCACCGAACCAGAAACCCTCCGCCAGCTGACTGCACCGAGAAATTCTGTCCATAAAAGTTATGAACAAGATCGGTGACAACGAGCAGCCCTGGAGGAGTCCAACTCCCACCCTGAAGGGGTCTGACTTACTGCCGGCAATGCGAACCAAACTCTCGCATCGCTTGTATAGAGACTGAACAGCCCGTAACAATGGCCTCGAATCCCATATTCACTGAGCACCCCCCACAGTGTACCCCGAGGAATACGGTCGAATACCTTCTCCAAGTCCACAAAACACATGTAGAGTGACTGAGCAAACTTCCATGACCCCTCAAGGACCCTAGTGAGGGTAAAGAGCTGATCCAGTGTTCCACGACCAGGACGGAACCCACATTGTGTCTCCTGGATCTGAGGTTCGACCAACGATCAGACTCGCTTCTCCAGTACCCCTGAATGGACCTTACCAGGGAGGCTAAGGAGTGTGATGGTCCCTCTTTTTGAAGAGGGGAACCACCACCCCAGTCTGCCAATCCAGTGGCACTGCCCCTTATGTCCACGCGACATTGCAAAGGCGTGTCAACCAAGACAGCCCCACAACATCCAGAGCCTTAAGGAAATCGGGTCGAATCTCATTCACTTCCGGAGCCCTACCGCCTCAGAGCTTTTTAACTACCTCGGCAACCTCATCCACGGTTATGGACGGATCAACCCCAAAGTCCCCCGACTCAGCTTCCTCCATGGAAGACATGCTAGTGGGATTGAGAATGTCCGAGGAGTATTTCTTCCATATCCCGATGACATCACTGGTTGAGGTCAACAACTCCCCACCTTTACTGATCACAGTGTTAGTTAAGTACTGCTTTCCACTCCTCAGCCGCCTGATGGTTTGCCAGAATCTCCTCGGAGCCAACCAAGAGTCTCTATCCAAGGTCTCCGGCAAAGACTGGTTCATCCCAAAGATCCAGTCCCCCGGCACAAACAGAGCAATGTTGTGTATGCTGTTCAGTGTCAGGAGGGCTGTGATCAGTCTTACATCGGGGAAACTAAACAGCCACTGGCCAAAAGGATGGCCCAGCACAGAAGATCAACATCATCAGGCCAGGACTCTGCGGTCTACACTCATCTCCAGGCCAGCGGTCACTCTTTCAGGGATGAAGATGTTCACATCCTGGACAGAGAGGAACAATGGTTTGAGAGAGGAGTAAAAGAGGCCATCTTTGTGAAAAGAAATCGTCCATCGTTAAACAGGGGTGGAGCCTCCGGGTTCAACTGTCCCTCTCTTACAATGCTGTGATTGCTAGTATCACTCAGCCCTCTGTGAACAGTAAACAGCCGTCAGGTGCTAATGATCCATTGTTAGGCTGATGGTCCTTCTTGAGCATGTGATCAGCTGGTTTTGGTTGTCAGCAGCAAAACTGGTTGATCCACTCTAAGAAGGTGCTATTTAAGAGACTGAGCTGAATACAGCACCTCAGACTGAGGAAGTCTCTCGGACGAGAGACGAAACGTTTCTACATTTTTTGTTGATTTGCTTTGTTTTGTTTTTTTGAATGTCCAGAGGACCAGATTTAACTTTTTAAGATCTATCCAAGGTCTCACCAAACTCCTCCCACATCCAAGCTTTTGCCTCAGCAACAGCCAAGGCTGCACACCGCTTGGCTCTTGGGTACGCCTCAGCTGCCTCCAGAGTCCCACTGGCCAACAAACCCGATAGGACTCCTCCTTCAGCTTGACAGCCTCCCTAACCTCACCTATGGTTGTGAGCTCTGGGTAGTGACCAAAAGAATGAGATTGTGGATACAGGCGGTTGAAATGAGTTTCCTCTGCAGGGTAGCTGGACTCTCCCTTAGAGATAGGGTGAGAAGTTCAGTTATCCGGGAGAGACTCGGAGTAGAACCGCTACTCCTTCACGTCGAGAGGAGCCAGTTGAAGTGGTTCGGGCATCTGATAAGGATGCCCCCTGGGCGCTTCCTTAGGGAGGTGCTTCAGGCATGTCCAACTGGGAGGAGACCCTGGAGAAAACCCTGGGCACGCTGGAGAAACTATGTCTCTCAGTTGGCCTGGGAACGTCTTGGAATCCTCCCAGAAGAGCTGGAAGAGGTGGCTGTGGAAGAGATGTCTGGGCCTCCCTGTTCAAGCTGCAGCCCCCGCGACCTGACTTCGGAATAAGCCGAAGATAATGGATGGATGGAGGTTTTAGTTTTTAGACCTGAGAATTTTAGGATAAAATTTTTCAGTCTTTCTCCCTCCTTAGATTACTATAATTATCTGGGTGTCCAAATACTTCTTTAAAACGTCTTCAGTTGATCCAAAATGCTGCTGCCAGAGTCTTAACTGGAGTTACTGGGAGAGATCATATCTCTCCATTGGCTCCTTGTCATTTTTTTCTTCTTCTTCTTTCGGCTGCTCCCTGTGTTAGGGGTTGCCACAGCAAACTAAGTCGCATGAAGACATGGCAGTTATTTTTATGCCGGATGCCCTTCCTGACGCAACCACTGACCACTGAGCTACCACAGCACTCTGTGTGGAGTAGAGAGCTGCATGTAGGACACCCGGAGGAGCAGATGGTGGGGGTTAAGGGCCTTGCTCAAGGGCCCAAAGTGGGACGAATGAGGGTGGGGGCAGGTGTGGTGCTTCACCTACCCCACCCACATTTTTGATGTTGTCGGTACCGGGGCTTGAACCGGCAATCTTCCGATCACAGGCCTACCTTCTCTAACCTCAGCGCCACCACTCCCTGTCAAATCCAGAATAGAATTCAAAATCTTACTTCTAACCTACAAAGCTCTCAACAACCTAGCTCCATCTTATATTACAGATCTTATTGTTCCATATTTTCCTAACAGAGGACTTCACTCTCAGACTGCAGGTTTACTCGTGGTTCCTAGAGTTTCCAGCAGCAGAATGGGAGGAAGATCTTTCAGTTCTCAGGCTCCTCTCTTGTGGAACCAACTTCCAGTTTCTGTCCGTGAGGCTGACACATTGTCCAGTTTGAAGACTGGGATTAAGACTTTCCTTTTTGATAAACTATAGTTAGGGTCGGATTGGGTTTCCTGAGCTGTCCCTTAGTTTTGCTGCTATAGGCTTAGACTGCTGGAGGACAAAATGACCACGGGTCTTCTCTCTGCTGCTGTCTTTACTTGATCTACTCTTCCTGTTTATATTTGTAATTATTTCTATCTTAAGATGTTTTTTGTCTTTTGAGCTGCGGCTCGGCTTTTAACAGGAACTCACAGGTTTGAGCACATTACTCCAGTTCTGCCCTCCCTTCACCGATTCCCTGTGTGTGTCAGAATTGATTTTAAAATTCTCCTGCTGACATTTAAGTGTGTTAATGGCCGACACCCTCATACTTCTCCGACCTTCTCCATCCTTATGCTCCTTCTCGGGCTTTGAGATCATCAGACCAGCTGCTTTTGGCCGTACCAAAAATCAGGTTGAAGCTCAGAGGAGATCGAGCCTTTTCAGTCGTGGGCCCTAAACTCTGGAACAATCTGCCCATCAGCATCAGACAGACCACGTCAGTCCCTGCTTTTAAAACTCTCCTGAAAACTCATGTGTACTCACTATTTCATCGTTTCTAATTATGTTTCATGTTTTTATGTTTTTATTCCATATGCTGTAATTATATCTTGTTATTTTTATTTGATGTTGTGATCTTTTTGTTAAGCACTTAACAGTTTCTGTTTTAAATGTGCTATATAAATACATCTGACTTGAATTTCCTCCTATAGAAAGTACACCTGGACCTGTCATTCTGTATTTGTTTCTACTTCCTGTCCTCTCTGTTTCTACTTCCTGTCCTCTCTGTTTCTACTTCCTGTCCTCTCTGTTTCTACTTCCTGTCATCTCAAACCAGCCGGTCGAAGCAGATGGCCGCTCGTCCTGAGCCTGGTTCTGCTGGAGGTTTCTTCCTGTTAAAGGGAGTTTTTTCTTTCCACTGTTGCCACTGTGCTTGCTCAGGATGGGAGACCGTGATGAAGTGAAGCTTCAACACAGTCTGCTGCTTCTTTAGATACAGAACTTTTACTGATCGTCTTTTCTAATGGATGTGAATGTTCCTGTTCAGTGCCCTGAGATTCTGTTGGGACCTGGAGCTACAGAAATAAACTGAATTCAGTGTTTCCCCTGGTTAACTTGCCATGGCAGGGCGCTCATCTCATCCATGATTTTTGTGTGTGTGTGTGTGTGTGGGGGGGGGGGGGGGGGAGACAGAGACACAGCCGTGCGCTGTTTGCAAAGAAAATTTTCGAAGGGGGGGGGGAGGGGTCAGCATGAGGGAAGAGGCTGCCTTTAGCTTTTAAGCTAGCGCAGCTGTATTGCGAGATGCTATAGTGGTACCTCAGTGCCGACAGGCGGTTGGGGGGTGGCGGGTTTGGTAGACTGGGTGCTCGGTTCTGTTGACGGGGCAGGGCTCCCTGTGGCTGAGTGCTTAGAGCAGTCGTCCTTCAATGCAAGAGTTGGGGGTTCGAATCCACCGGCAGTCACATGTTGAAGTGTCCCTGGGCAAGACACTGAACCCCTCATAGCCCAATCCCTCATTGGGGGCCCATGTGTGTCCCACCAGTGTATGAATGTGATCTAAAGCTCTGATTAGTCTCTTTAGAATGATTTGTTCAATTAGCTTTGTAGAGATCTAGTATAGAGCTGTATGAATGGGTAAATGAGGCACATATTGTTGTAAAGAGCTTTGAGTATCTTGAAATAAGATAGAAAGGCGCTATACAAGTACATTCCAATTACCATTTGTATAATGGTAGGGGAAACACTGGAATTTAATTGAATTAAACAGCAAGCTGATGTCTCACCTTTCATGACAGTAGGGTTTGGCTTTTTCTGCGATGTCTCTCATAAGAAAGTCCAATAGTCTTCCCAACATGTCTCCTTTTAATCGATCCAACAAGGACAACAGACCATCGAACAGCGAGCCCTCCAGGGAAGCCAGGCGACCCACTTCCATCATTTCCAGGCCCCCCACAACCTCCTGCTCACCAAGTGAAACAGCTGCCTGCTGCAACTGTAAAAAGAACTGAAGAAAAACAAGCAAACAGGAGAATAACCCAACTAGACAGACAGAACTGCAGAAATATTTATAAGAAAAATGAAGGTGATTTCTTTTATATCTCTGGAAGAAAGATGGGACATCGTCTTGGTTTTAACTAGAGATGCACCGATCCGATACCAATATCGGTACTGATTAAAAAAAAAATAAAAAAATTCTGGATCGGGTATCGGTGACAATGTGATCGATCTATGACTGGGCAGATCTATTCACTCTAATTCTATGCTTTGTGAGCTGAGTGACGTCACGCGACAGCGTACTGACTGAACAAATTAAAGTTGTGTTGTTTTTACATGTTTGACCAAGCTTGTGAAGCTCTTGGTGTGTTTAAGTGTGCTGCTCTGGTGCAGAGTTTTCCATAATTGTAATTCAGTACATTCATGTCTGCCTTTAACAAAACAAATGTTTTCAGTTAATTCAGCACTGGGCTTGTAAGCTCAAACATCCAGGTAGACAACAAAAATGGCTAAATCATGTCATCTGGACCTGTTTCAGAAACAGGGCCAGATGACATGAAGCTGAGTCGGGGGACTTTGGGATTGGGGTTGCGGTTGGTCCGTTGGTCGCTGAGGTAGTTAAGAAGCTCCAAGGCGGCAGAGCTCCGGGAGTGGAAAAGATTCACCTGATTTCCTTAAGGCTCTGGATGTTGTGGGGCTGTTTTGGTTGACACGCCTTTGTAACATCGTGTGGACATCAGGGGCAGTGCCACTGGATTGGCAGACTGGGGTGGTGGTTCCCCTCTTCAAAAAGGGGGACTGGAGGTTGTGTTCCAATTATAGTGGCATTACTCTCCTTAGCCTCCCTGGTAAGGTCCATTCAGGGGTACTGGAGACGTGAGTCAGATCAATGTTTGAACCTCAGATCCAGGAGAAACAATGTGGGTCCTGTCCTGGTTGTGGAACACTAGATCAGCTCTTTACCCTCACTACGGTCCTCTAAGGGTCATGGGAGTTTGCCTATCCAGTCTACATGTGTTTTGTGGACTTGGAGAAGGCATTTGACAGTGTTCCTCGGGGTACACTGTGGGGGGTGATCCGTGAGTATGAGATTGGGAGCCCATTGTTACGGGCTGTTCAGTCCTTATACAAGCGGTGCGAGAATTTTGTTCTCACTGCCGGTAGTAAGTCGGACCCCTTCAGGGTGGGAGTTGGACTCTGCCATGGCTGCCCATTGTCAGAGATTCTTTTCATAACTTTTATGGACAAAATTTCTCAGTGCAACCAGGGGGTGGAGGATTTCCGGTTTGATGGCTTCAGGATTCCATCTCTGCTCTTTGCAGATGATGTGGTCCTGTTGGCGTCATCGTGCCATGATCTTCAGCTCTCACTGGAGTGGTTCGCAGCCGAGTGTGAAGCGGCTGGGATCAGAATCAGCACCTTCAAATCTGAGGCCATGGTCCTGAACTGGAAAAGAGTGGATTGCTCTCTTCAGGTCAAGGGTGAGGTTCTGCCTCAAGTGGAGGAGTTCAAGTATCTCAGGGATTTGTTCACGAGTGAGGGAAGAATGGAGCGTGAGATTGACAGATGGATTGGTGCAGCATCTGTAGTATTGTGGACTCTGTACCAGTCCGTTGTGGTGAAGAGAGAACTGCGCTTTAAGGCAAAGCTCTCTGTTTAGCTGTCGGACTACGTTCCTACTCTCACCTCTGGTCATGAACTCTGGGTAGAGACTGAAAGAATGAGATTGTGGATACAGGAGGTTGAAATGAGTTTCCTCTGCAGGGTAGCTGGACTCTCCTTTAGAGACAGGGTGACAAGTGCAGTTATCAGGAGAGATTCAGAGTAGAACTGCTACTCCTCCACATCGCAAGGAGCCAGTTGAGGTGTTTCGGGCATTTGGTAAGGATGCTACCTGGGCCAATCCCTAGGGAGGTGCTTCGGGCATGTCCGGCTGGGAGACGACCCTGGGGAAAACCCAGGACACGCTGGAGAGACTATGTCTCTTGGCTGGCCCGGGAATGCCTTGAAATCCTCTGAGAAGAGCTGGAAGAGGTGGCTGTGGAAAGAGATGTCCGGACCTCTGCTCAAGCTGCTGGCCCCGCGACCAGACTTCGGAATAAGCCGAAGATAATGGAAGGATGGATACTTTAAATAAAAATTCCATGCCGATCGTGCAGCTCATCCATCAAACAGCCAATTGTGTGTCACGCATGTCCAATCTTTGAAAACCTGCAATAAAGCAAGTCCACAAAAACAAACCGCCAAGTAGCAAGGGACTACTGTATTGGTCTGTGTGGGTGGGTTTGTGGTACACCTCAGTTTGCAAATGTCCTCTATCAGAGACTGAGACCTCACAGTCCAAGAAAGCCAACCTGCCATTTTTTTCATCTTCTCGTGTGAACTTGATGTATTTATCCACAGAGTTGATGTGGTCAGTAAAATGTTGGACTTCCTGAGATTTGATTTTAACCCAGGTGTCGTCAACATACCTGAACCAATGACTTGGTGGTGTCCCTGAAAAGGACGTCAAGGCTCTCTTTTCTACCTCCTCCATGTACAGGTTGGCAACAATAGGAGAAACTGGAGACCCCATAGCACACCCATGTTTCTGCCTATAATATTGCTCCCCATATGTGAAGTAGGTTGACTGCAGGCACAGTTTCAAGAGTTGACACAGTTGTTCTGTGGAAAGTGTGGTCCTGCTGCTCAGAGTGGTGTCTGATTTTAATCTTAAACTGACCACCTCTACTGCATCATCAACAGGAATGCACGTAAAGAGTGATGTGACATCAAAAGAGACCATTGTTTCATCAGTCTCCATGATGACATCCCTCACCTT